TTTTCCATTTTTCGTAAGTTGCAAATTGAACTTTGATTGACACAGAGTGTCAAGTGGAAGCCAAATTTGACGTATGCCAATATTAGACTTTCTCTTTCCAGGATAGACCAGCCCAAGTGAAGTGGCACTGACATTGCATCTCCCTTTGGTTAGCGAAGTCTTTTATAATATTGTAAACATGGGTTTTTTTTTTTCCTGAGAAATGATAGCACATTTATTGATCACCATGCTCTTAAGCTTTTCTAGTTATAATTTTTCTTAGGTATTTTATTCCTCGTAAACACACTTGTATAGTGTGTTTCAGTGTTCAAAGCACTTTCAGACATTCTTGCTTGATTCTGACACTAGCCTTAGGAAATAGTTAAAAGCACGTGATGTTATTTTGATTTTACAGAGTCTTAAGTGACTTGCCCAAGATCATATAGCCAACAAGCATGGAAATAGGGTGAAGACACCAGTTTTTCCATTTCACAGTCCAATAATCTTTCTTGGAGCTAAATGGTGCTGTTTGTTTACGTGACTAAAAACTGAGTTATTTTACTCATGTGAAAGGCCTCCTATGTTGTAACAGCTTCCTTCAGTGCCATAGAATCGAATGAATGTATTTCATGTCAATGTATTCAACGTAGCTTCTGTGTTTGGGAGCAGATAATTGGCGGTCTTCAGCCAGAAAACAAATTTGTGTAACTTGGATTCAGAATTCTGGAATTTCTCACCTACTGGAGTATTTGTACCTATTCCAGCATCCATCTTCAATTCCAGGAAAACATGGGTGATCCCTTATTGCTTAGTATTCACCTCATTAGATGGCACAACTGTTTGCTACTTGGCAGTCTGTGCAGAAGTAAGGTCCAGAAGTAATTTAGCAAGAGAGTTACTTACATAAAGACTGAGAGCTACGTAGTTCTGGGTAAATGCTGGTGCAACATGACCTCTTTGTGTTTTGTGTAAATGCTGTGCTAGTACTACCAGTTGTCTATATCCACTTAACCCACATTTACTTTTGAAGGAGTCGATTAATTCTCTTTGCCTCAAATTTGATAATTGTGTCATCACCGAAGTCATAACATTTTCATAAATGAGCTAGAGCTTTAAAAGTAGAATCCTTGTACACAGTCATTGGTAGGCAGTGTTTACTTTTTTGTTTGGTAAATATCTGAAATTTTAAAATTCATTTTTAGATTAGCCAATCCAGTTCCTGGATAGTAATGTAATATTTGAATTTGTCTTTGCCTTTCCCTAGGTTCTGGTTTGACCTAACAGTGATAAGATTGTTTATCCTTTGATTTGCTTAAAATTACCATCAGGTTTCTACTTTCCCACAAGAGCACGTGATTGCTTTATCCCAGCTGTAAGACAATAGAACAACCTAGTGTTGCTTGGTTTACTTTGTATGCCTTTTTCTATTTGCATAAACCCTGATCTGATTACAAACTTGTATTTACACCACTCCCTTGACTCCTTCCAACTCAAAGTATTTATTGTCCAGTTAAAACATTTATGGTTAGTCATATAAGCTGGCTTATCTTTTCTTCTTTGAATTACTTTTTTTTTTTTTTTTGAGATAGAATCTCGCCCTGTCGCCCAGGCAGGAGTGCAGTGGCGCAATCTCGGCTCACTGCAAGCTCCGCCTCCCAGGTTCACGCCATTCTCCTGGCCTCAGCCTGCAAGTAGCTGGGACTACAGGTACCTGCCACCATGCCTGGCTAATTTTTTTGTATTTTTAGTAAAGACGGGGTTTCACCGTGTTAGCTGGGATGGTCTTGATCTCTTGACCTCATGATCCGCCCGCCTTGGCCTCCCAAAGTGCTGGGATTACAGGCGTGAGGCACTGCGCCCGGCCTCTTTTTTCTTTCTTTCTTTTATTTTTATTTGAAATAGTATCTCACTCTGTTGTTCCAGCTGGAGTGCTGTGGTGCAATCATGGCTCACTACAGCCTTCACCTCAAGTGATTCTCCCACCTCAGCCTCTTGAGTAGCTGGGACTACAGGCGTGCGCCACCAGCCAGCTAATTTTTGTTATTTTTTGTAGAGATGGGGTCTCTACCATGTTGCCCAGGCTGGTCTCAAACTCCTGGGCTCAAGCCATCCTCCTGCCTCAGCCTCCCAAAGTGCTGGGATTATAGGCATGAGCCACTGTATCCGGCCTGAATTTCAATCTTACTTGAACAGCCTGAAGTAATGAGTAATGAGTTTATAGCTTTTAAAAGAGATCTTCCTTATCAAAAATAATTATACTATCTCATTTCAGGATTGCTTATCTATGGTTCTGGTTATTTTTTCGAGAATGGAAACTGAACCCCATCTTTAACATTATTTAAAAACTTGAGAGTTATTTTAAAAGCATGACAGGAATTGCTCTCATGGCTAAATTTTTTCCTTAAAAAACCTTTAGCAGTGACAAATAATTGTTGCCTACTTAATTCTATTTTAAAAAATAGAGGAATTATAGAAGGGTTTTATTTTATTTTTGTTATTTTCAAGATACTTTTGAAAACCGTTTAGCACCCAGTTTCTCTTACTGTGTGGAATGCTGCCCCTTTCCCTCTGTGTTTATTTTGTGATGGCACATGGATAGATTGTGATGGTGGTCTCTATGTGGACTTTCTACTGGTGCGTGTGTGTGTGTGTGTGTGTGTGTGTGTGTGTGTGTGTGTTCCATTTCCCTTTTGGGAAGCAGGAATTGGAGCTGGAAGAGAAACAAACAAATTATTTTCATCTAATCTTTTTTCTCCTCAGCTTAACTGACTTAAACTATGGAAAAATTGGTAATTTATATTTAAAATTTATAAATTGTAATTTCCACTATATATATTTTTATTTATATTTATATATAAATATATTTAAATGTATATTTAAATTAAATATTAAAATATATTTATATATAATATATTTAAATATTATACTTTTTTATTTTTTATATTTTATAAATATAAATTTATATTTATACTTATATAATATATTTAAATATATATTTATATAATTTTTAAAAAATATATATATATTTTTTGAGACAGGGTCTTGCTCTGTCACCTAGGCTGGACTGCAGTGGCATGATCATAGCTCACTGCAACCTCAAACTCCTAGGCTTAAGCAATCTTCCCACCTCAGCCTGCAGAGTAGCTGGGACTACGGGTACCAACCATGCTTGGCTAATTTTTTTTTTTTTTTTTTGAGATGGAGTCTTGCTCTGTCACCAGGCTGGATGTGCAGTGGCACGATCTCGGTTCAAACAATTCTCCCAGGTTCAAACAATTCTCCTGCCTCAGCCTCCCGAGTAGCTGTGACTACAGGCGTGCACCACCATACCCAGATAATCTTTGTATTTTTAGTAAAGATGGGGTTTCACCATGTGCCAGGATGGTTTCAATCTTGACCTCGTGATCTGCTCACCTTGGCCTCCCAAAGTGCTGGGATTACAAGTGTGAGCCACCATGCCCAGCCTAATTTTTTAACTTTTTATAAAGACAGGATCTCACTGTATTGCCCAGATGGATCTTGAACTCCTGGCCCCAAGCGATCCTCTTTCCTCAGCTTCCCAAAGTGCTGGGAGTAAAGGTGTGAGTCACTGTGCCTGGCCCTCCAAAATATTTTTACTTTCATTTAAGTTTGCCACTGATATGCTATCCTTACTTTCCCTATGTCCCCTTAATCTTATCTTTATGGTAGTTTAAGAGAATCTAGACTGCTGCTTTGCTTAACTGATACCTCCCCTGGAAGCTATCACCAATCACATCACTGCCTCACATTGAGTAGGACTTGAAGTTCATGAAACATCTTTAATATGCTCATCTAACTCAAATTGATCCTTTGTGCTATATCTTGATATTCTTTTCTCTTATTTATTTGTATACTGCTTTATTAGACTATCACATTAGTTGTCAAAGCTAGTAGTTAATTCACATGTTGATTTTCTAGGCCTGTATCCTTATTAGTCTAAGGTGGAAGAAACAGAGATAAAATTTCTAAATACCTACCTAAACTGGAAAGGAATAAGGAAGAGAATTAATTTAGTAGAATCAACCTTTCTATTCTTGACAAAATCTGGTTAAAACAAACTGGTTTTATACACACATACACTTTTTTACACAGAATTATTGCTGAGTATAGTGTTGTCCAACTTGACTTCATAACTTTTTGGGTTGCTTTATAAATATTCGTTAATATTAAAGTGTTTTTTATTTTAAATGCTACTATGTTGAAATTGATCTGGTGCCAAACAGTGTCATTCTTGTTAATTTATATCAATCTCTGTTTTATAATCCTTTGAACATATTAACAAGGAAAAAGGAATGATTGGTAATACCAAATATTATGGTTCTTTGTTATATAGTTTTAGAGAGCTACAGGTAATTGGCTATAAAATATTTGGTTGGCAGTGGAGAATATTTTTAAAATTCTATAAAAAAAAGTAATAAGGAGTAGAACTACCAGATATTCAAATATATTATAAAGTAATAGTATTGAAACAGTGTGGCAAAGGCCTCAGATTAGATGGTATAGATCACTGAAGAATAGAAATAAATGCTGTTATTTATGTAAATCTGACATATGTTAAAGGAGGCACTGTTAAACAGTGGGTCATGGATTGATTATTTAATAAATGGGGTTGGAATAATCAGTTAGCAGTTTTAAGGAAAAATGCATTTAGATCATTATACCAGATACAACAAAAAGTAAATTTTTGATAAAGTATGGACATTTATATGATTGAAAATCTAGAAGATAAAAACACTGCATACTCTGTAATTCTCTGGAGTTCCTAAGCAATTGGAAAACTGGAAAAAGAAGATAGTAAAAATTTGTTTTATTATAACAAATTTGCATTTGTTTTGTTGTAACTGTAGATCTGTGAGTATTATAGGAAAACCTGTCTATTCCACGTTCACAATCTGAAAATTAGTCTCCTTTTTTCTTCACGTCATCTGGAAACTGTTTTTCTTCCAAACTAGCTAATGAAACACAGAATGCAATTCTTTATCTAAAATTGTATTCTGTAGGTGTATTGAAAACTATACAGGAGCTCGTTGTGAAGAGGTTTTTCTCCCAAGCTCCAGCATCCAAACTAAAAATAACCTGTTTGAAGCTTTCATGGCGTTGGCAGTCCTAATAACACTTATCATTGGAGCCTTCTACTTCCTTTGCAGGTAAGCAAAATAGAAACATGCTTTTGAGAAAACTAATGCATAAAGTAGTTATTCCACTAAATAATTAATATGCCCTTAGTTCTCGATATTTTTCCAGATACTGCATTATGTTTAGTTATCTCTTTAATACAGTTTTTGTTATTAATGTCATTTTTGAAAGGATCTTAATAAGCAGTCTCAATTTATTCTTTGTTACTGTTGTCAATATTTACCTTGACTTATCTAAACTATTAAGGTAGACCCATACTCACTATAGCAAATATGCCAGAAGTACCTGAATATTTGGGTTAGGTGTATTTAAAGTAAATTTTGTATGTGAAAGAAAAGGAACAACTTATGCAATACTGTACATGTAAGCTTAAGACATATGGTTAATATGCAGGGTCAGCTACTTAGTGCCCACTATGTGCTAGGCATAAAGAATACAATAGTGAACAAAATAGATATGTTTCCTAACTTCAGAGATATTTAAATCAATTTGGAGAGACAGACAAAAAGGCAATTAATTTGGGGAAACTGGTAATTCACAAGAGAGACAAAAGAAAAAACTACTTGCATGAAGCAATTATATGCACTGAAGATTACTTTCATTCATTTGTTTTGATTTTCAATTGTTTTTGAAATTTTGTAAAAGTAAGTAAACATAGAATTTAGTAAGTCCAGGAGTTATCTGGCATAACTGTCATCATTAATTTTATTAAACTCATACTGAATTCTATCATAGATACTTGTGAAAATGGAGCTGAAGGTAATCATAAAAGAGAGACAAGTGAGCTTGAGAAGTTTGTATGCTAAGAAAGGTAACATGTAGGTAAAATAGTATCTTGTTAGATCCTGATTTCTTAACTACTTTACATCAAGGAATAATTAAAAATTGGAGGAAATCAGCTTTTTAAAAATATGTGGTATTAAATAGTTTATTCCAAAACATATCATTTAAGCAATCTGGTAGATTTTATTTCTCATAATTTTAGCATCTAACTACTTCAGATACAAAAGTTTAAATATAAGCCCATTGTATCAGATTGCATTTCTGAGGGATGGCCATAGGATATCTCTCATTCCCACATACTCTTCTGTAGTGTGACCTTGCCACTCATCCTTCAAGAGGTAGAGTCTATTGCTATAGATTCCTTGAATCTACGCAGGCACTATGACTGCCTTAATCATAGAATACTTGGGATGCTGCCTCATAGAATCAGCCGCCATGTTGTAAGAAGCCTAAACAGTAGGAAGAACTAGCCCCAGCTGAACTTCCAGCCAACAGTCAGCCTCAACTGCCCACCATTTTAATGAGCCATCCCAGACATTCAGCTCATTCGAACCTTTGACTCCTGACTTAGCTGCCAGTTTACTGCAACTACACAGAGACCCCAAGCAAAAGATGCCCAGCTGTCAACCCACAGAATCATGAGACAAAGTTTTTTTATCCCCCAAGTTTGGGGTGGTATGTTATGCATAAGTAGATAACCAGAATACCCATCTTTGGAATTAGGTTTATGCTTGACTTTAAATGTATCTATGTTTGGAAAGCTGAATAATGATCTATTCTATTCCTCTAAACATTTTGTCAGTCAAATATGGTAAGGGGAAGACCAATACCTACTTCCCTCATTAATCACTCTGGTGCCAGTTTGGAGATATAGTTTCCATCTGTTATTGATTGGATAATGAATTCTGTTTAATTCATTATCATTAATATGTCAGGATAGTCTAGGTTTGGCTGCAGTAACTACCAACCCTAATAGTTTAGTGGCTTAATAAACAGAAGATTATTTCTCACTTATTATAGGTAATTAGTATGGATTGGCAAGCAGGGCTTTGCTAATGATAGTCACTTAAGGACTCAAACTGTTGGAGCAAACACCATCTTGAGTGCTGCTGGTTGTCATAACAGAGGGAAAAGAAAGCTCTGGAAGTTCTCACACTTAAATTGAAATGATCTGTCCCAGAAGTGACACACATCACTACTGACATAACTCACTAGCCAGAAGGAGTTTCATGGTCCTCCTCAATTATAAGAGGTGGCTGGACATGGTAGCTCATGCCTGTATTCCCAAATGAGAGGATTGCTTGAGCCCAGGAGTTTGAGACCAGCCTGGGCAAGATTGCAAGACCCTGTCTCTACAAAATGAAAAATAAAAAATATTAGCAGGGCATGGTGGTACACATCTGTATTCCCAGCTACTCAGGAAATGGAAGCAGGAGGATCCCGCAAGCCCAGGAGTTTGAGATGCAGTGAGCTGTGATTATGCCATTGCACTCCAACCTGGAAAAGAGAACAAGACCCCCGTCTCTTATTTTATATGGATAGATTAAATAGATAATATTTATTTGTATGTTTATATATTTATATTATTTACATATATGTAAAATAAGAGACGTATAATATATCCAAGTGTCAGGAAATGCAATTCAACCATATGACCATAAGGTTAAGAGACAGAAATACATATCTAACATAGTGACCAAAAGATTTATAAGAATATCTACTATTCCACTGGGAATTGTGAAGAGTGATTTGTGTGATATTAAATCCATAGGATTTGGGCTAGGTGCTGTGGCTCATGCCTGTAATCCTGCCAAGGTGGGAGGACTACTTGAGACCAGGAGTTTAACACCAGCCTGGACAACATAGTGAGACCCCGTGTGTACAAAACAAAATTTTTTTTTTAAATTATCCAGGTGTGGTAACACATGCATGTAGTCCTAGCTGCTTGGGAGGCTGAGATGGAAAGATCACTTGAGCCCAGGAATGAGAGGCTGCAGTAAGCCATGACTGCACTACTGCACTCCTGCCTGGGTGTGAGAGCAAGATCCTGTCTCTTAACAAGATAAATAAATAAACAAATTAATGGAACTTTAATATTGTTGTAGTTGCCCCCAAATGAAATTCCTTTGCTAACCCATTGAGTTTGTGAAGGGCATAGTATATTGTACCCTACAGGTGTTCAATGCCCCAGAGCAGCAAAGTTTCAGAAAGGAGTCCTTCTAAGCCATAGCTGCTCTGCAGACTTGAGCCAGAACTTGGAAATATTTCTAGTCTGAAGTACCCTGTCGCAGGCTAAATAATACCTTTTGAGTGAAAGTATAGGTATAATAGAAGCAAAAGAGTATATATATAAGAACAAGAGGTGGTGTTGAATACAAGAGAAAAGAAACCTCCAATCACAAACATTATATGGGTCTCCATCCTGAATTCACACTATCTGAATGTCTTGGGGTAAAAAGTTAAGAATATAAAATAGTCTAGGCTGGTAATGTCATCAGATGGTTGGCAGAAACAAATACAAATCAATTCTTGAAGAGCCTACTTTTATCCTTTACCTTAAAAAGCATCTCACAGTATGAAAAGATTACCAAAAGTAGAATAAAAGAGTCACAATTTATTAAAACTAGCAGAAACAATAGGTAGTAGGGTAAGATATTCAGAAATCTGTATTTATTGGAAGAATCAGACACATGCTATAAAATAAGTATGTTTAATATGTATCAAAAAATAAGTGAGAGGTGGCCGAGCACGGTGGCTCATGTCTGTAATCCCAGCACTTTAGGAAGCCGAGGTGGGTGGATCGCGAGGTCAGGAAATTGAGACCATCCTGGCTAACACGGTGAAACACCGTCTCTACTAAAACAAAAAATTAGCCGAGTGTGGTGGCGGGCGCCTGTAGTCCCAGCTGCTCGGGAGGCTGAGGCAGGAGAATGGCATGAACCCAGGAGGCGGAGCTTGCAGTGAGCTGCACTCCAGTCTGGGCGAGAGAGCAAGACTCCGTCTCAAAAAAAATAAAAAAGGAAAATAAAATAAAATAAGTGAGGGCTTAGAAATAAGCAAATTTGGCAAAGATCAAAACAGATCTCCAATGAATGAAATGTAATTTTTAAAAATTCAGTACATATCTTAGTTGAATAAATTTTTTAAATTTAGTATATGTCTTTAAACAGCAGTTTAAACACAATAAAATTATTAAAGAATTGGAAAATAGATAGGAAAAAATTACCCAGAGGGTAATCCTAAGAGAAAAAGAAATGGAAAATATTGAAGAGAAGTCAAGAAGCGTGGTGACCAGAGTGTGTGCCTACCTTATGTTTAATTGGAATTCCAGAAGAAAAGAGAGACTGGGGCAGAGGCAGTGTTTGAAAAAGTAATGGCAGAGACCTTTTCAGAACTGATGAAAGTTACCCACAGATGTTAGAAGCCCAACAAATCTAAAACAGGATAAATAAAAATAAATTTACATATGAGTGCAACATAGTGGAATTGTAGAACACCAGTTCTAAAGGTGACATCACAAAAGCAGAAAAGAATGGCAGATTATCGTCAAAGATGCAACAATTAAACCAACAGCTGACTTCTCAGTTGGAAAGAAGCAAAACTAGAAGACAGAGCAGTGATATTTTCAATATGCTGAGAGAAAGCAGTTAACCCCAAATTTCTGTGGCAGTGAAAACATCTCTCAGGGAATGAGGGTAAGATGAAGATAACTTTTAATCAAACTTTGAGAGAGTTATCCCTCAGTAAACCTTCTGCCTGAAGGATATATGTCAGGGAAAAGGAAGTTGATCCTATATGGCATGTGTGAAATGCAAGAAAGAACAGAGAAAGCTATTAATATGTGAATATCAAAACAAATATTGTATAAATTATAACAATAATATTATCCTATGTATTTTTTTAAAAGGAATTAAAACACATGATAGCAAATAAGTTGAAAGGATTGTAATTGAAGTGTACTAAGGTCTTTGTATGGGGGGGAGGATAAATATATAAGTTAATTTTGATCTTGATATTTTAAGATGAATATTAAAATGTCTAGGGTAACACATAATAGAAAATCAAAGTGTATAATTTCCAAATTAGCAGAAGGACAAAAATGGAATTAAAAATAACCAGTTAGTTAAAAATAAATTAAAAAAAAGAAAGCTAGAAAACAGGATAAATAGAAAGCGTTACATAAGATCCAGGCTGTTCTGTAGTGACCATGTGAACTTGGAAATGCGCTTTCAAGAATGAAATTGTTTTCTGTAATAGTTTTTGGTCCATTAGTGGTTGAAATTGCTTTAAACTGAGGGCCTTTTGAACTTTAGTAACTAATTAGTGCCATCATTGAATGAGGTCCAAAATGATACCCCACTAATGCTAAAATCTGGGCTAGAATCAATAGTGTCTCAGGAATAGGAGCAAGTTTGCTTTTAGAAAATACACATCATTTTGCAATGGTAAAAGCAGTTTTGAATTCATTTTCATTAATGTAAGCTAAAACTGCATATAGACATATTGAAAAAAATGAAATCAACTGTACATTCCAAAATCTATCATGATTACATAAATTACAACCTATATTAGTTGATCAAATGACTGAAAAACCTGATGTACTGTTACCTCAAAAATGTCCAAAATTACTTTTTAAAATGCCATTACTAGAATAGTTGACTAAAGCTACTCCATGTCACATAAGGGTCCCAACTGATAATGAAAGCTAACCTCTTTAAAAAGGGCACAAAAATTGCACTAAGATACAGCAGCTTTGCTGTTGTCTTAAAGGAAAAAGACCAGGCGGCATCATCAGCATCTGAATGATGACCTACATGCACTAATGGATGTGTTAAATAGTGGGAACAGTTTTAAAGCACCACTGACAATTTCAGGTAGTTGTGGAAAGAAAATAAACCATCAAATAGTCAAGTTTGTACTTTCATTTGAATGCCATGTGTTGTAAAAAGGGGGAAGAAGGGAAAATAAAAAAAACAACCTTCTTTCTAGGTTTTCTGACATGTTTTCCTATTACTCATTTTCCATTTTTATGTTTCTCTCCTCTCAAGTGTCAGGAAGGGCCACTTTCAGAGAGCCAGTTCAGTCCAGTATGATGTCAGCCTGGTAGAGACGAGCAGTACCAGTGCCCACCACAGTGAGTAAACTCAAAACAAATGCTTATTTTAAAACCCTAGACGAGACTGTTGTTGTTAGATATAGGGATTTGTATTTAGATCTATCCAGAAAAAAAAGCCTGAGCCTAAATTTTTCTATGGGTTTTTGTTTGTTTTGTTTTTTGTTTTTGTTTTGTTTTGTTTTTTTGGCCAGGTACCCTTTTTTACATAAAAATGAATTTATTATCAGTATGACACAAATCACATTTTTTTCCCAAAGAAAACAATGTTATCTCAATATATTAAATTCTGGTGTTAGCTCTAATGTGCTACACAGATATAAGGGACCGGTTTCTCAGAAATATTTTGAAATGAGCTAGCATATGGGGAGGAAGAAGAGTTTTGCCTGTAGAGATCAGCAAATCTTTGGGTAACTTGTAGACAAATTGATGTTTTAAAATTGTCTTGAGACTTCTGGCCAAGATGGAGTAACAGGCACTGGATTTATTTCCTTCTACTTAAAACAACAAAAAATGGACAAAATATATGAAGCATTAAAATTTATGAAGACAGCTGGGCGCGGTGGCTCATGCCTGTAATCCCAGCACTTTGGGAGGCCGAGGTGGGTGGATCATGAGGTCAGGAAATCGAGACCATCCTGGCCAACATGGTGAAACCCCGTCTCTACTAAAAATACAAAAAAATTAGCCGGGCGTCGTGGTGGCGGGCACCTGTAGTCCCAGCTGCTCGGGAGGCTGAGGCAGGAGAATGGTGTGAACCTGGGAGGCGGAGCTCATAGTGAGCCGAGATCACGACAACTGCACTCCAGCCTGGGCAACAGAGTGAGACTCCGTCTCAAAAAAAAAAAAAAAATTATGAAGACATTGCTATCAGTCATCAAAGGAACCATGAACCCTGAGAGATGGGAAATAGACTAGGTGAGCCAATGATTGCCTTAGATTACTGCCTGGAGAGAATTTCCAGGCTTTTGTGCAAGGTTGGGGACCCCAGGCTGAGTTTGGCAGACTCCGAGTTGAGATGATGGAGCTAAGAGTCCAAAAAGATCAAGGTGACTATATTGTGCTGAGGAGAGTCCTAGAAAAAAGAGAGCTGTATGAAGAGAGAACTCCAGAGATCTTCAAGTATTCAGCTGAGTACTAATCAGGGCATGTGTGGAAGGAAAATACTTGAGGTTGTAGAAAAAATCACCTGAAGGATTAGAGGTACCCAGTATTCACACAGGGCCAGGAAAAGTGTCCGTTCCCACTGAGACTGAAAATCTCATTATTCACGTGGCACTGGGTAGAGTACACAGAAAGGTGTTTCCCTGATAGTGGGGAATAACTAGCCCTAGATTAAGCACTGCTCCAGTCCTGTCTAATAAATTGTAAAAGCCTGAGCTGAGAGAATCAAATTGTTTCCAAATAACTATATCCTAGATCAAAGCTCAACAATGCTGAAAACATCTAGTACCCAACAGGTGAAATTAATAATGTTTCACATCCAATAAAATTACCAACCTCCAAAGAGGCAGCAAATGTGCTCAAAATGAGAAATATTAAGAAACTGAAAGCTGGGCATGGTGGCTCATACCTGTAATCCCAGCACTTTGGGAGGCCGAGGCAGGTGGATCACTTGAGGTCAGGAGTTCGAGACCAGCCTGGCCAACATGGTGAAACCCCATCTCTACTAAAATACAAAAAAAAAAAAAGGCAGTGATGGGCACCTATAATCCCAGCTACTCGGGAGGCTGAGGCAGGAGAATCGCTTGAACCAAGGAAGTGGAGGTTGAAGTGAGCCGAGATTGTACCATTGCACTCCAGTCTGGGCGACAGAGCAAGATTCTGTCTCAAAAAAGAAAGAAAGAAAGAAAGAGAGAAAGAGAGAAAGAAAGTGAGAGAGAGAGAGAGGGAGAGAGAGAGGGAGGGAGGAAGGAAGGAAAGAAATTGAAATTGAAACAGATGTTAGAAATCCCAGGTAAGCATAGTTATTATAAATGTGTTACATAGATTCAAAAGTTAAGTAGAAACATAGAATATATATTTTTTAAAGGACCCAAACTGAACTTCCAGAGATGAAAACTAGTGTCTGAGATAAAAAACAAAACAAAACAAAAACTGGATGGTATTAACAGCAGATTACACACAATAGAAAATATTGGTGAACTTGAAGATATAGCAATAGAAACTAAGAAAAAAAGAAATGCAGAAAGAAAAATTTTTAAATGAAAAGAGCATCAGTGAGCTGTGCGACAACTGCAGGTGGCATAATGTTGAGTCCCTGAAGGAGATAAGAGAGAAGAGGGAACAGAAAAAATATCTGAAGAAATAAGAGTCAAAAATTTTTCCAGATTTAATAAAAATGATCAATTCACCCATATAAAAAGTTCAACAAAGGCCGGGCACTCTGGCTCACACCGGTAATCCCAGCATTTTGGGAGGCTGAGGCAGGAGGATCACTTGAATTGAAGAGTTTGAGACCAGCCTGGGAAACATAGTGAGACCTCATCTCTACAAAAAAGAAACAAAATTAGCTGGGCATGATGGTGCATATCTGTAGTCCCAGCTACTTGGGAGGTGGGAGAATTGCTTGAGCCCAGGAGGTCAAGGCTGCAGGGAGCCAAGATTGTGCTCCTGCATTCCAGCCTGAGTGACAAAGTAATAAACCAAGACACATCATAATCTAATTGCTCAGAACCAGTGATAAAGTCTTAAAGGCAGCTAGAAAAAGATACATTACAGACAGAGAATAAAGCTAAGGATTTCAGCAGGCATTTTTCAGAAATAACACACCTTAAAAGAGTGGAACAACATACAATGTATTGTAAAAAGTAAACCTATAATTCTACATCCAGCAAAAATATCTTTCAAACACAAGGCAAAATAGGCAAATCAATCTTGGAAAAGATGAACAAAGTTAGGAGACTCACACTTCCTAATTTCTAAACTTACTATGAAGCTGCAGTAATCATGGCAAAGTAGTGCTGGCATAAAGATAGACGTATAGATGAATGGAATACAATTGAGAGTTCAGACATACCTTCTTACATTTATAGTAAATGCATTTTTTATAGGGTGCAAGACAATTCAGTGGGGGGTAATAATAGTCTTTTCAACAAATGGTGCTGGAAAAACTGGATATCCACTCACAAAAGAATGGATTTAAACCCTTACTTCATATCATATATAAAAATTAACTCAAAATGGATCAAAGATCTAAATGTAAGAACTAAAACCATATAACTCTTAATAGAATAGGTGTCGATCTTCATAACTTTGGATTAGGCAATGGATTCTGAGTTATGATTCTAAAAGTACAAGCAACAAAATAAAAAATATGTAAACTGGATTCATCAACATTAAAAACAAAAAACTTTCATGCTTCTAAGGATACCCTCAAGAAAGTGAAAAGACAATCTACTTCTGAGAGAAAATTTTTTTAATCATAAGTATGAGACTTATACATATGATCTGAAATACATATATGTATTTGAATATATAAACAACATTTACAACTTAATGAAGAAACAACTCATTTTAAAAATGAGCAAAGGATTGGAAAAGAGTTCTCCAAATAATATGTACAAATGACTAGTAATCCCATGAAAAGACAATCATCGTTAGCCATCAGGAAATGATGATCAAAACCATAATGAAACCAAGTGTGGTGGCATACTTCTGTAGTCCCAGCTATTGGGAGGCCGAGGTGGAGGATCACTTGAGCCCAGGAGTTTGAGGCCAGCCTGGGCAACATAGCAAGACCCCATCTCTAAAAAAAAAAAACTTTGGGGAGGGTGAAAAAAGGAAAAAAAAATGTACATGAATGTTCATAGCACATTAGCCAAAAAGTAGAAATTAATCAAATGTCCATCAGCTGATAAATAGATAAATAAAATGTATTATATTCCTACTATGGAATATTATTCAGCAGGAAATAGAAATGAAGTAGTAATATATGCTGCAACATGGATGGACTTTGAAAACAATATGCTGAAGTAAAGGAGCCAGTCATAAAGGAACACATATTTTATGATAACATTTATATGAAATGCCCAGAACAAGCAAATCTATAGAGACAGACAGTAGATTGTTTGCCTAGGATTGGAGGAAATGGGGGGATGTTGGGAAGTGATGGCTAAGGGATGTGGGCTTTCTTTTTGGGAATGAAAGTGTCATAAATTTGATTGTGCTGATGGTTGTGCAACTCTGAATATACTAAAAGCCATTGAATTGTACAATTTAAATGAGTGAGTTTTATGGTATGTGAATTGTATCTCAAAGCCATAAAAAACCAGTAACTATTTAGAAAAAATGAAGGCAAAATAGAGATTTTTCCAGGCATATGAAAGTTGAAAGAATTTATCATCACCAGAACCGCACTAAGTAAATATTAAAGGAAGTCCTTCAGGCAAAAGGACAATATCAGATGGAAATATGGATTTACATAAAGGGAGGAAGAGCACTGGAAATGACAACTATGTGGGTAAATATGTAAGATCTCCTTCTTATTATTTAAATCTCCTTAAGAAATAATCGACCATTTAATGAAATATCATAACAACATAGTATGGGACTTACAACATACATAAAAGCAAAATGTATAATAAGGAAATACAAAGATTAGGAGGGTAGCAAGGGAAATACCCCACTGTAAGGTTCTTATGCTAAATGTCAAGCAGTACATCATCACTTGAAGGGAACTGTAATAAGTCAAAAGTGTATGCTAGAAACTCTAGAGCAACCTGTAAAAAGTCTAAGCCACCCAATTAAGACAGAGATTGTAAAATTGGATAAAAATTAATGTGATACGCTATCTGCAAAAAATATGTTAAGTATAAAGACACAAAGAGGTTAAAAGTAAAGGGATGAATAAAGATATGTCATGCTGGCCAGGTGCAGTGGCTCATGCCTGTAATCCCAGCACTTTGGGAGGCCAAGGGGAGCAGATCACTTGAGGTCAGCAGTTCACGATCAGCTTGGCGAACATTGTGAAACCCTGTCTCTACTAAAAATACAAAAATTAGCCGGGCATGGTGGCAGGA